CAAGTTATTTTGCTACAAAGAAAATCTTCAAAGCTTTTAACACAGTTCACAGAAGTTGCGTCACAATTAACAGTACGCAACATGACTTTTAATTTAATTAAGTAAAGAGCGACACCTGCAACACAAAAGTCGGTGATTGTGTCTGGGGTAGGATCATATCCAAGGTATTGCGCGTTATTTTGAATCAAGACAATGCTTGTCCGTGCACAAAATTTGGCAGTATTTTCGAAATTACTGAAACAACCTTGCGAAGTACTATGGCCTTGACCTTGAACCGTGACGAGGGCATGGATTTTGCAGATTATGTCGGTCAAATGAGAACAACGCGTTTAGTCTTGATGCGCGGAAATGTGCTCAGGATGTGTGCCAACTAGACTAAGCACAGCCACATAAAATCGGCCACAAAATGTAGAAAACTAATTCCTAGTATACTAGCAGGACATTTAGTAAAATAAAATCTCCATTTTGGTTACTAAATGTGTACTTTTACTTGAATTTTAGGCCCAAAAACATTTGTGCGGAAAACAACGAAAAAGGTTGTTTTGCGAATAGGTGTAGAACCACCAATCGATATTATTTTTTTGATAAAATATTCGCTTTACACTTTTCACTATGGCGACATTGTAGCCAGTCAGCTGTGACGGCTTCATCGGTCACAACAAGCGTTTTGCTCAAAGAACACAGCCCAAGATGCAAAATTCTATGTTAATCTAAAAAAAGGAGAACAATTTGACCGACTGCGTTCGCGTGTAAATACTTGTTGACGCGATCAGCGTTGAAAAAATCGCGTTTTCAAATAACTGGGTGCCTGGATATGGCAGGCACGATCCTGGACGAGTCCGCGTCGTCTGCGAAAGCAGTGTTTATCCCATCGTCATTCAAGGTCGTCGTGCAATTAGCGAGCTTGTCTGGAAGGTATACGCGGAACGAGGATGCGGTGTGTGTGTGTGTGTGTGCGTGTGTTAGGCGACTTTTTGTAGCAGATACAAAAATCTCCATGTGACTCAACACGAGAGTGTACACTTTTGTACTGGAAATAGGAAGCCTGTTTTCGGTCTGCTGTCAAACTCTTCTGCAATTAGGTTTGACCCGTTTGCGTTGTGTCCACAGAAACTAGTTCACCTTTCTTCTCAAACAATGGACTGTCGAGTGTTACATAGCTGCGTTTCCACTCAGTCGACTAGCTACAGGTGTCCGAAAACGACATTAGTGAGTTGATATTGATAAGATGCGTTCAAACACGGATTTTGCAAAATTACGAAAACCAAATTTCTTGCCCGTGACTTATTAAAATTGCAAACGGAAACCAGATCTCATTTCGAAATTATTCACTGGGTGGTTTGTGAGTTGCAAACACGGCTCACCACATGACCATCAAATGCGGTTGTCATTTATTCAATTTTTAACGAAGACATGGAAAATTGGGTTTGCATCAGGCACCAGCAGTCGTCAAAGTCTGTCAAAGTCTGCCAAACACAGCAAGTCCACAAATTGCACCGACATCAAAGTGATTATCGATCGGTGCACCAGATTGGCATCGATCGGTGCAACATGCGGCTCGGCCGACGTCCGCATGTTTACCGTGCACACACGATCAGTTTAATCGAATTTGCACCCTTAAAAACCTAATTTTAGGTGTGTAATCCAACAATAACCGTAAATAAATTAAGGTCGAAAATGAGCCTCGCTGAAAAGGGTTGATATTTGTTTAATTAGACCAACTACATCGAATTTTGATCATCAAAGACAAGTTTTAGTACAGCAGGGTTCCAAAATTGCCCCAGATCGATCGTAGAGTTGAAACCAAGTCAGTGGGAAGATGTTTTTGCGCAAAAACACAACTTCTGTATGTAAATGCTAATTGACTGTTCACGGTTGAAGGGGAGCTTAATGTAGAACCTCGCCTTCCTTCGCCTCCTTCGCCGTCCGAAGCTTTTCGACTTTGTGCTGTAAACATCGCCCTTGCTTCCTGGACCCTCAATTTGGACAAAATCGATGCACACAGGAAGTCAAAAACGGTGCATCGCATCTACCACCCCCAATGCTGCTTTCATCAGACACTTTTTAGGTGATTCAGCCCTGCAGAGGAAGGTAAACTCGAAAGCACGTGCGAAAAGCGAATGTTTTTCTTTCAAAAAAATGCCCCGTTGAATCAAACAAAACAACATTTTTGCACATTCTGACAACGGTAAGTTGGGGCGTGGTTCGATAAAAGGAACTTTTTTGATTGACGGCGTCAAGGGGAATTTCAAAAATGCTAAAATGGTTCATGAGAGAGGTCTTGGCGTGTAACCAGTGTCACGTTCACCTCACAGCACACAGCCTTGAACACTTACAAAAAAAAGTGTGACCTTGATGCTTGATGACGTCGGAATGTGTAAAGTACTCTTGAGCAGATACCGCGCGTTGTTGGGTTGTGGTGTGTTCGAGTGTCGGAGAGTACCCACTTCACTCAGGCGGTATTTCCCACACCTTCAAAACTGTTTACGCATGCATGGAGCCACAACTATGGTGTGTTGAATGCAAAACTCTGCCGAGGTGATGAAACTGACCGAGACCAGGGCTCAGGTGGCCCCGACCATGTGCGAATCCCACCAATCACTGAGAGGAACACAAGTCACGGTAACTGCGACACACACACACACACATACACGTGCAAGTGCTTTGTGTGGACGTCCATCTTCAAAGAGTAAACGAATCTCCAGCATGTGGCAATTAATCACGCGGTCGAGAGATGCTGGAACGAGGTAATGTGTATAAACATCGTGGAAGGTTTTAGGGCTCCATGCAGCTTGACACACGAGTAGGCATGTGTCGTCCTCGCACTTGGAACCAATGTAGATGGTGAAACAACTTCCTCTGCTCACGAAATCAATCAGTCGTTCTTCTACACAGAGAGAGGGAGATCTTGAAGGTTCTAGTAGAACCCAGACTGCCACCAAGCACATCTCAAGACTTCATGAGGCCTGTCGCATGCGTGAGGTAATTTACACTGGGTTGAACAACGCGCACTGGGACTTGAATGAGTGGCGTCAAGACGCTATTTCTAGCTGGTACCACAAACACAATACAGCAGACCACATGTGACAGCATTCCTGTGGCCTGCAGTTGGGTATGCAGCGCACACACAATCAACTGATTCACACTCGACTTGGTTGCGCAATTGCAGGTGTCGTGGAATGTGTGATGATTCCTTGAGAAGGGAAGGAGGCGACGGCATCAGAGCTACGAGTTGGCTGAATCAAGTCTCAGTGATGTGCATCCAATGGACGTGTAGAAAAGTTAACATTATTTTTGCTCCATCACATCGAAAGACAACGCGGTTTACGCTAGCACGAGAAGAGAGAGAGAGAGGGAGAGAGGGACGTTGATTTGGTAGCTCAGTGCGTGTACTGAGTGAAACAACAGCGATGTGGGCATGACTGCGCGTGTTTACGACCAAAGCCCAGTCGCCTACGTCATTAGCTGAATCGCGGCAAATTTAGGCTAGCGCAGCATCGCTGTGTTACCGAGATGACGGCTATTTAAACGAGCGCAGGCATCGCCCTGCCTACACACACACACACACGACTACCTTCTCCATGTTTTTTTTTCTCTTCCGATGCAAGTTCGGCCTGGCGAAACAGACTTACCGTAAGAAACGACTTTCCATGCCAATTGTACAGAGCATGGACAGTTTTGGATTGCCATGTCGGATTGGCCCATTGCCAAATTGCTACCAGGGCTGTAGTTTAAGCGACAGAAGATGTCCGCGCAACGTGCTCAGTGAACATGATTTTTGTTCTGGAAGTTATGGTTCCAACAACAAGCCCCACCCAAGCCCCTAGGCCCCTACAATCAGGTCAAAGGTCACCTCACTTGGAAACATCCTACACCAGGAAATCGGAAATGAAAAATTGACACGCCCTTAAAAACTTAAAATCCACTCTACCGCTCGGCTTGCTCCCCCCATTCGGTGCCACTGGAGGACGATGACTTGATAAAAGTGCCCTTTTAAAGTTTATATCACCAGAGTGTTAATTGTTTCATTGTTCACTTAAAAGTGACATGGCAAACTCAATTTCTTACCTCTTCTGGCAAATCACATGGACTATTTTTTAAACAACATCAAAAAAACTTCGAAAACAGAAAATGAACACAAGTTTGCTGCTGAAGTGTTCTAATCAAACTACATTTTTTAATTCAAAAGAGCGTAACAATTAACTGAGGGAGCTTTTTAGAAGCTTGTACAAGCATTTCAACTTCATCGTTTTCAATCAAAGAGGACAAATAACTCATTATACCATAGATTTTAGACGTTTTACTGGGCCCAAGATGACGGTCCTTGAGAATCGCATGCATGCTATTTTACGACGCGAAATCAACAAGTGAAACACGCACATTTTAGAGTCACGAGACTCATGCCTGACAGTTCATTTCCGTGCTAACTAGTGCTACACGGGTGTCCTTGTGGGTAGTCGGAATAAAAATATCAAAATAGGCGCGCAAAATTAGATCCAGAGAGCGGGACTGGTCAGATTTCCCTCGCTTTCGTGGAGTATCTACGTCAACGCGAAAAGGGCAACAGCACAGGCAGTCATCCAGACACAAAGAACCACAGGAGCCGGTTGCGGGGTTTTCATCTGGTCATCAAGAGCAAACTCGCCAACCTGTCAGCTATTGAGATTATTTTAAATCACCTTCGGCACAACACGCGGACAACAAAAACACTGCAGAAAGCCAATTGCAAAAGCCAGCAAGCGCATACGTGGTTTACACGGCAAAAAAATAATAGAAGAGGACAGATAAGGGTATTCATGCCAAGCGGTACACGTCGCTAATAAAAAAATGAGAAATAAATGGCAGAAGTAGAGTAATTCGATGTTTAGCACGACCTCATAACCCGGGACATTAGAGTTGCCGCGTGAAAAGAGGCTAGGGACTTCTCGACAACTCTAGGGTCTCAGGGACATGGAGGGTGGCAACGGAATGGTGTTGGGACAAAATAATTCTTTTAAATTTTAAACCGATGTGGCAAGAACTAACTTGTCATCAACTCGTGAGGAAGAGGACGAGAAAGCGACCAATTTTCCCACAAGCCAAAAGGCACCACATAGGAGAAATGGGGCAGCATACCTTGGTGAGGGGCCGACGCGGCGTACCTTCCAGAGGCCTCGGCTACTACCATCCAGGGTGCGCAATGGGCCAGCCGAGTCGGAGACTACGGCACGAGCCGCGCACCACACGCCACGCGAGCCATCCGCATTATGCACTTCGATGCGCGACTGGGTCATCAATCAGGTGGCGTGAACCAATCAGAGCGCTAATTTTAACCGTAGGACCCGAAACACGAACGCTATTGGACGTTGCCATGACAAGAGTATACGAGTGGACGTAATGAGTCAGCCAATCATGTACGTTTGCGTACCTTATCTGCATGAACTCACACGTGTGGGGGTTGGTGGTGGATGGGATGTCAGTTAACTTTTTCCGCTCGGTTTTTTTATTCGGCGTTTCGCAGCCTTAACAAAATAAAAAAAAAACCACTGTGTAGCTGAACACGTAAATTAGCTAATTTTTGGCAGACCTGTGTGTCAAAACGCGTTTGTAATGTCCCTAAGTTTGTCACCATGCTTCGACTAACCATGCCCGAACACAGTAATTCCACCGCGAAATATTCTGCATGCGTTGTAGCGAATAACCTTAGTAAGTAAGCACAACAATCGTAGTTGACCAGAAGGGAAGTTGTCTTGCCTTTATCTGTCCGTATTTCCATCCCTTACAGACAAGCAAAAAATATTGTTTACAATAAAATTACTGATAAATTAGGAGCAGCTGTTGGGCTTTAAAGAGGCGAATTCTTTGATTTCGCAATCCAAACAAGTGAATGAAATCCTCTTTGGAAAGTTTTAATACGTAGGGTTATGGACAACGCACATGGCTTTAATTAAAAAAGTAACCGTACTCAATGGTCGTGTGGCTGGATGTATTACACAAATTGGTTAAAATGCAAAGATATGTGGTACACATAAACCGCCATCTTCCACCAACGCTCTCCAGTTCCTGCTTAATAATTTAATTTCGACCAGGAAAGTTTTTGCTTGCAGCACTTCACTTTAAGTGCGCAAAACATGCCTCGGTTAGGTTTGTTTCAACAATTCTGGAGATAATTAACTGTTACAATTTCACCTCATTTTTAAGCCGAATTCACCTCGTTTCCTGAAAACCAATTGCTTCCAACCTGACCGTCATTATATACGTGGAAAAATGCTACTCATTTAAATTAAATTTAACAAAAATACTTGTTGGAAAAAATTGTAAAATTGCCCTCTAAATGAACAAATGTAATAACCACAAAATTTGGCTTGGCCGGCTTGATGTTATATCGATTTTCTGCTTAGCTTTCGCGGCGGTATCGATTTTTTATTGTGCCGTGGCTAGTCGCGCGTGCAGCGAGGCAGGCAAGCATTTTTTGATCAAATGATGTTAAAAAATTTCAAAAGCACGTGGATATCAAATAAAATTATTTGAAAACTGTTGTTTCTGCAAAACCGTTCGCTGACCTATTGAATTTAGACTTGACATTTCTGATATAGCCGAGGTTTGACAAATGAGCAAAGCCGTTATTTTGTTATTTCAGAAAACTTGGAAAAAAACAAGGCTATTTTGTGTGTTCGTTTTTTTTAGGCTACACAGTCTTCGATGACAGAGATTTTTCTGATTGGGCTGCCGAAAGTTGCATGGTGATCTAATTTGAATCAGTGGAACTCGATTTTATTATTTGTCTGTCTAGTTGTGGAAGGTGATTTACAATCAGTCAATGAAAAGCGTCTAGCCAGTTACCGCGTAAGTCAGTTTATGGCACAATAATGATTTCGTTTACTTTGATCATTGCAATAAATGCTCTACCGTAAAAACAGCCGACCATTTTCAGCTCTTCGATGGCCATCATCAGCGTGAAAGATTCCATCGAGTATAATTTGGACCTGGATTCAACGGATGGTCATTAAATCTGCTTGTAGGCAGGAACTAGTGAAGGCGTTTGTTCAGCTTTGTACTACATTTCTACACTTTGCTGTCATGATAATGTATCAGTTTCAAGAAACTTTTTGCAATTGTGACCGCTGCAATAAGAGCGATCATAAACAAAACGCGTCCAAGATGCTGAGATGTTACCAGTCGAAGGCAAATCAACTTCTGAAAGTTGAAATAGAACACAACTTTTACTACCACTATGAATCAGTTTAAACAAAGTGAGAGTCCTGACAAGAAATCAATAAATTTAGCTCCAGCCAATGGGCGTGAAGCTTCAGTAAAGAGACGAATATTTTTGACTCGGCAAATAGCAAATGTATAATTTGGTATCTGATGTTGGTATTCATTCTGATTCATAAACCAAAGCACGGATTTAGTAAAGAGACCGTCTGCAGTCAATTTCATGCCGGTTCGAATTATTTAGCTAGATCTCAAAGCACATTTTTACTAAAAAATTTCATCTTTAAAACACACCGACAAATTTGCCGGTTTTTCAGTTGAATTAAATAAGACGGAAGCTGCGCGCACCCACAACCCGACATTGTCACACGTAATTACATCATAAAGACTACAGATGACCCGGGAAAAATTCCTTTCTCTAATTATTGTGCAAATATGACGTACTTAAGTAAATACCAAAAAAGATTTGGAAGCAATGTGCTACAAATACAGCTACCTATCTAGTTACTCACAGCAAATCAGGTCGTTTGAAAGAAGATGCTACCTAAACAGTGAAAAGGGGGCTTAACTGGGTCTACTAGACCTTGTGATACTAGCAAAAACAATTAAAGCCAGATTTTGACTGGACGATTCCTAATCAGAAGAGAGGAGTGTTTCAGCTATGGACAAAATTAGACACAGGCCGTCCATCCTAAAAATATCAGGCAGGCCTGCAACCTAAGAAGCCATCGTATAAAATGGTTTAATTGAGGTTATAAATATAGCATTGTGTTTCACTCCAAAAGCACAAAAGACCTATCGTAATTTATTTTTAGGAAATGTTTGTGCCAGAGATTTAAGTGGTTACAAAATCACCAGTGGATCCACTGACGTCGACACGATTGGCGACATTCCTGCTAGACCATGTTTTCTTCCACCAACAAGACGATGGTATCTCAAGGCTCGTGGTAACCAATCACTAGCACAGAGTGAATAAGAATTTCAGCCTGACCAGGCTTCAGGTGGCTGTCATTTGCACTCAGTCACTTGTTCCGCTATTTTTCCCTTTTAAGGCCGAATACCCCAACCTTGACCAAACCACCGCCTTGTTGAATAAGCCACTTCACGGGCAAGCCCATGCGCATAAGCGTCTCCAGCTGGTTAAAATTTAAACCGTGTTCCCAGTGCAAAGCAAGGACCAAGCTATATTTCAAGATCCCTGGTGGCGCAGGTTTTTGTTGTTTAAATTACCGCAATTACCGCTCGCAGGCGCATGACTCACCACACCATCGATTATATATCGGTGTGATGCAGTCGCGTGGGCTTGGTAATGCACGCGACTGCGGAGCGTGAGAAGCGAGGCGATACTGCCGCTGCTGCTGCTGCTGTTGTTGCAGTTGTGACGCATCGCAGTTTCTGTGACAAACTGATTTTTGGACACGTGTGTGCGTTCGTGTGTGTGTGTGTGTGTCGGCTCTGGTTTTGGGAAACTGGGTCAGTTGGGACAATCTTGGAAAGAATAACGGGCTGGGGTTATGTGCGCAAAATACCCTGAATTAAAATGGACTGATTGACACAGATTGTTAGTCTTAATTCGGTCAGAAATTAAATCCAAACCTCTGCAGGATCTTGTGATAAGGACATGGTCTGCATTATTAAAATCATGTGGCCAAGGTTAAATGTAATGCGATTGTTTAAATCACTGGCATGCAACTAATTTCAGTGTTCAAAATTTAGCCTAATTTAGCAGTTAATTGTTTAATTTTCAACCTGCTTCCAAAAAGTCGACGAAATGCAGGAAAAATGCATGAACTTCGAGGTTCCAAGTGCTTAAAGGGTTACCCTCGTTCTTGGCACTTAAAATGGCACGATTCTACTCTAGATTGCTAAGCATTCTAGGTTAATTCGACACGGTGTCAATAAGTAAACGGCCGAAATCCGCCGTGCTCCCTACCGAAATTTGCTGCAGCGTCACACAGAAAACCTATTTTTAGAGGCAAAAGATCTTAGCAGCGTTTTTGGAAAGTGGTGAATGATGCCTTGAGTGATATCCAAAACTACCTGAAGTATTTCCTCTTTCCCAAAATCTGTGTTTGGCGTGTTATAGGACGTTGGCGTGACCTTGCCTGCTGAGGCTAACGCGGAAACGGCAATTGCGCCAGAGGAGTGCTTTTATGGAGGCTGCGCCTTCACAAGTTATGGCCATTGTGTGCGAATTTAGCTTCCATAAACCTGTTGTTTGAAGGCGAGCTGAATTCTGCCCTTCATTCCAGGCATCTCTGAATGGAACCATGACGTGTACGATTTCACCATTTTGGTGTCCCTAGCAGTGACACATCATTTGCTTGTTTAAATGCATCAACATTGTGTCAAGGATGTGAATTTCAATTACCGTCTCTGATGGTAACACAGTAAAGTTATTATTTTAAGCCCCACTAATCAATGTTAAGCAGTCCAGAATCTGCCGACAATGCGATTGCTTCAACAGTTGTAGGCTAATTTACATTAGCGCTAATTTAATGAAATGCTAATTAAGCAAGCAATCGGATTGGACAGTGATGTGTCGAGTGCTCAACCAACATTGGAGGTTTCTACTCAGTCGGCTAATTTTCTTGGGAATTTCGCAGAAACATGCTCAAATCCCGCTATCGTCTGTTTGAATTGGCTGGCAGGGAAGTAACTGCGGTTTGTCCAAGTGCATCAAAATGTGTCTGTAACGACTGTCAAGACGAATTTCGTTAGGCGACATGAGCTAATGTGAATCCAATCGACTACTCTGGAAGGCGACATTTGGGCAGCAACCAAATGTGATGCGTAGCACCGAAGTCAGTTGAGCCTGGCTCTGTCTGCCGTCTTCTGCTCACCTGTTTGGTGGATGCGTAGGATTTCAACGTCGGTGGTGTTGGAGAACCACATTGGGGCTTCCACACGTTTCTCATCGAACAGACATCAAGTAGATGCTGCACCTTCTAGTCATTTTGATTCCTGGGTTCACGCATCTATAGCACATGTGGAGTAAGCTTCTTTGGAGTCAGCATTCGCATCGAATGCAAAGCAAGCATTCTAGACCTAGTTTGCAGGTAACAAGTTGGGAGGACAG